CCCCCACCTCCCCCTTCCCACCGTAATTATTGGAGTAAAGAACAGAAATATTTTCGACGGTGGGCCATCCTACCGCATCAATTATTACTACTTCGAAGCTGGTGGAACAGTCCACGGGAGGAAACAGAGCGGGAATAAATGAGACTGACGATCAGTGGAAATGCGCTGGACGGACTTGAAACGAAGGACAATGAAAGAATTAGAGATAGCAGTCTAATGCATTTCGAATTACGTCTATGTATAGTGTTCTATTTGTGTCTCTTCGAGGTCCGATGTACGGCGTGATGGCGGGATTGGGAATCACAGCGGGAGCCCATCGTCTCTGGGCGCATCGCAGCTACTCGGCGAAGCTTCCACTCAGGATATTCCTCGCTTACCTTTACTGCATGGCTGGCCAGGTAGCAAATATTTTTCAGCTAGTACGAGTCTTCAGGCGGCACTAACTAATACCTTTTATCGCCTCGAAGTCAATTCAGAAGCGCCAAGTACTCATTCCGACTTGACAGCATTCCGGGAGAGACGCGTTAAAGGTTCAACTGGCCTCCGTCGTCCAACACAGTCCTCCGATCCTCGGGCGGCGATAATCTATCTTTAGTGAAATCCAATAATCATTTTATGGAAAGTGGATTTAAATGCGATGGCCAAATCGCCGGTTTAGCACTTTTCCTCGGCTCTCCCGTTCCTCCACCCTGCAATCGGCAAATCCGTACCGCCGGTTCCTTTCCTTAGGATTCCACCTCCTCCGGCCATTCTAACCCGGTCTCTGTCCCTTCTACATTGATGCGCCCAGCCGTTTTCCCTCCGAGAGATCACCCATTCGGTGATCTCCCCCCAAGCCGAAATTTTATCTGTTCACGCTGCAGCTTAGTTCTTCTTCTCCTGTCACCTGCGATAAAAGTCCTTGTCGAGTGAACGGACCTTTCGCGATTATAAACATTTTCCTTGTGGGTGCATCCACGCAGACATGTCGCAGAATTTATTAAAGAAGAATTCGAGTTAGCTCATGATGCTGAAATTCGCGTAATCTCAAGATATATGTAATTCTATAGTTCCACGTGCTCAACTGTGCGTCTGTGCGCCTGCATCTGTTCATACTCTACAAATATGTATGCGAGCCAAGCGCTATACAATGTATACAGAAGGAACTGTGGCTGAAGCAAGTTTATTTAGAATTCCTTGGTACCTCAGTCGGAGGTTGAAGCGCAGACGGGGAAGAAGACTGAGGCTGAGAGCACGAATGAATGTTAAGGGGGATGTATTCACCTATCAGTTACCGCCCCACGGCAATAATGGATCTAGCAACCGCGAACGGAATTTCGGTGGTGATTGCGATCGGTGCAATTTATGAAAAATTCTACTCTCAGTCTATCTACTGTCTTCTTATTCGAAAAACCAAGTACTGGATGTTTTTATCATAAACCTCGACTTGTGTAACTTGCATCGTGTTGTCCGCGAGTCCCGACTTCCCCCTGTAAAACGTATCACCGCGCGACGCGTAACAAGAAATCTCAGTGAAGACGAAGGAAACTCGCTGAACGTCAATGAAAAATAAAGATGAAAGAAATACGTAATAATTGAAAGTTTCCTTCCTGTCACCATAGACGTGCCTGTACAAATGGATCCGCGACCACCGAACTCACCACAGATTCACCGAGACGCCAGCGGATCCCCACGACGCCAGTCGCGGTTTCTTCTTCTCCCACGTTGGTTGGCTTATGATGAAACGTCATCCGGCCATTAAAAAATACGGTACCAAGGTCGACATGAGCGACATCCTCGCGGATCCCGTAATCCAGTTCGCTGACAAGTGAGTAGGGTCCATACAAGGAGAGTACGATGGGAGGCACCTAATCTAATTCTAAGTCCTAACGACACATTTAGGTATTACACGCCGATTATGCTCTTCCTGTGTTTCGTCCTGCCGACCCTAGTGCCGGTATATTGCTGGAATGAGACTTGGTACATCAGCATACATGCCGTGATCATTCGCTACGTCTGGCTCCTTAACGCGACGTTCCTGGTCAACAGCTTCGCTCACATGTGGGGTAACCGACCGTACAACAGGTAAGCCGCGAGGAGGAGATACATGACTACATCAGCTAAGAGCAGTCTTACCGTCTCGGAGACTCGAGGCTGTTAAGACAATAAACGTTTCTCTGAGCTGTATATGTATGTATATATATTAGATATTCACTTACATGTATATACAATATGTGTATATACGTTTTCACACCTTATTTTGCTCATGTCCAATCAACCTTGCGCGGGAATTCGTATGGAGAATTTTGTTTATTAACTCCTCCTTATCTTGCTTCGAAGTAACTAGAGCATGATAAGGTTGGTAGAAAAAGATGCTGGGCAACTGCCCAGCGGATGTTCGTAAAGGACAAAGTCCGTGATCAAGACGAAAACCTCTCGAGCTTATCTAGTTTTTAACCTCGAAAATATTGTTGTTCCTCGCAAAAAAAGGATTTTCTCGATAACTTTTTGCAGGCTGGTGAAGCCCACCGAGAACCCCACGGTAGCGTTCTTCACTCTTGGGGAAGGCTGGCACAACTACCACCACTCCTTCCCATGGGACTACAAGGCGGCCGAACTCGGTGCGTACAGTCTCAATCCCACGACCGCATTCATCGAAGTGATGTCTTGGTTCGGCTTGGCCTATGACCTCAAGACCCCAAAAAAAGAAGTGATCGAAAAGACATGCCTGAAGAAGGGCGACGGAAGCAACAGCTTGTGGGGTCATCACTATAACCGTGAGGAGCCCCTGCAAAAACGTCACTGATCTTGCTTCCAAAGTATTCCTTCTTACTAGTGGCAAAGTGGCAAATGCCAATGGTGTGTCAATCTGAGAGTTATTAACGTCACCAGCGCAACCAAGAGTTACATTAACAGATAGTGGCATTGCCGTCAATTTTTTTTTCAAGCCCTGAATATACTTATAATTAGTCGTATGCCGCAGCAACTATACATATATACTATATCAAAGTGATTCCGTATCTTTGGTAGCTTAATGGTAACACATGCTTTAATGCTGTAGTACACCGTAGCAGAGCAGTTTTGTGCGAGTCTCTTGCTGCCTCTCGTTGCGTCTATGTCACGTAAACGCCCACAGTCGAGTCGATTGAATCAATTTTATCGATTGTATCGATCGATTCGGGTAGTGGCAGGCTCTCCCGGAACGAAGACACGGGTAGTTTTAGCTTTAAAGGTTACTCAAGAAATAGCGAAGCTCTTTCGTGAACGCAGGATTATTCAAGACAAAGGCGGCACCAACTATCGAAACGATCACGCTCAGTTCAGCCCCGTAGTAGAGTCAACAGTTCGCCTGCCACGTTTGCCTTGAACAATCCTGTTAATAAATATTTCAACTCGAACATTTATTAGTATAAGCGTATTGATATGTACGTAAACAGAGGATTTGCTCAAAACGAGATAAGGGCTCTTGCGACTTAAACACGTTGGATCGTGCCTCCAGTACTTGTTCCGATATAAGTTCATTCCGCGTGAGTCCTTTTGAGACTAATTAGAAAGAACAATTACACGGAAACCAATCAAATCTTCAAGGATCTTCACTTTCGAAATTTTTAAGTGTTCTAGAAGCGAAAGCATCGACGACTCGAGTAGGACGCACTGCTTGCTTAAGATAGCTTAGGTTAAGGTTATAGTCGAGTTCAAACAGTCTTTCTTTCCTCCAATAGCCAGTGCTATCTGACAGACTCTCACTGAGCAAGTCGGCAATGAGAGCATTCAGAGCCTGATGGCAATTGATCGGTACGCAGGAAGGAGCAGGGCAACTTGACGGAGAGCTTAAAAACATTTTCCGCAAACCAACCGACCAATTGCCAGGTTCTGTTTTGTGCTGTGACGAACTCAGGCAGAAGCCTCTTGTGTCGGAGCTTTTGAAGCTCCTATCAGCTGCTATTGGAAATAGGCTCGACTGCTCAATTAGAATATGTACAGTGTCATCAAGTATTTTAAACATAAAAATAAAGTTTAATCTTTGAAATATAATGAAGAAACGGCTGGTGTGGCATTCATAAAAATATTAATAATTAACCCCTTGATGCTGGAATAGTTTGAAATTATAATGCGAACTGGAACTAATTGGAAATAGAACTGGGCTCCTACAATCAATCGCATGCCAGTATGACGCTACAGAATGGAGTTACATTCAAATCACCCAAAGTCACCCAAAATACGCTTCGAAAATATAAGTTACAAGGGTTTTACGCGTGAAGAGAAATGCCGTGCATAAAAAAACGACTAATGAATTAATGACTAATTTTAATAATTTTTAAAATATTTCTACTCTTCTTTGTTATTATTGTGATGGAACGAGGACGTCGTGGATCGTTCGTTCGTCGAGGCCAATCGGTTGAGACCGAATTCAATAACCCGTTTGAAGGATCCATATGTCAACATATCGAAACTGAGGCGTCGACGTCTCGCTCTAGAATCGAGGTTAGCCAGGTGAACGGTCTCGCCTAACTGCCTAACCGCCTTACTGCCTAACTGCATAACTTCTTTGGCGAAATTGTTGCTAAGCCTAATAGATTCCCGCATAAAAGGCTGCGGGTGGCTATTAAATGATGTATGAATTTCAAGTCTCAGCTAAGCGGCCCATAAGCAGTAATTTCGGGCCATTCTTAACAAGTTGTGCAATATTCACTCGTAATAACGGTAATTTAGTATAACGACTAGGTCAGATGGCGGATCTTGGATTTCAAAGAAATATCATTCTTTCTTCATTTCTCATCAATCTATCTCATCGAATTTAACTGTGGATCGCTGATTGTGATGTTGATGGTTAATAATAAGAGAATATTCTTGACCAGTAGAGAAAAAGAAACCTGGAAAAAGACGGAAATGCGTGCCCCTCGATTCAAATTAATTGTTCAACTTTTCGTTAATTCATGTCCATTATTTTTAAGTATAATAAACCTATTTAAATAAACGTTAGCGTTATTGAAACATTAATCAATTTCGTTCTTAAAATTTTCTATGGAAATACAGATTCAACCTCCCGCTCTTGAGATTGCGATATACTTGGCTATTTGACGCTGCTTTTCCGCACGTACGTCACCGACACTTAAAGAAACGAGCGTTCTAGGGAAGCAGACGTCGGCAGTTTCGCTTCGTATGGATCCCGGCCTCTTGACGCTGACTGCTAAAACAAGATTTTTCAACTTGAAACATCAATAGCTTTGAAACTAATGGTCGGATCATATTTTTATCAGCAAATTTTGAGTTCGGTATCACCCCAACAGTCAGTACTCACTTCCATATTAACGTATCAAAAACAACTGTCTGACGACGTCATCTAAAAGCTTTAACACTGTACGAGTATTTATAAATCCTAAAAGGCCGTCATAGGGTCTATAGTACCACTTGAGAATAATTACCAGAAATTTCTAGTATTTGCTTATTTCCTCCTCTCGTAGTGGATTAACGTTCGAAAAGTAATAACGAAAGGCCATCACGTGGCCGTTGCGCCCATCGTGCATGGAGGACACGCCGCACCGTCGTCTTTGCCAGTTGCTTCGGAGAAGAAGCGAAATAAGCAACAGGAAGAGGGAATGAGGAGAGCAGAAGGAAGGCTGTGTAGGGCGCGTAATTAAAATGAGCCAGTGAGGGATGCCTAAGATAAATCTTTAAGCACGACATTTATACTCGAATATAAATGATATACACGTACCTACCAGGAGAGAGAGAGAGAGAGAGAGAGAGAGAGAGAGAGAGAGAGAGAGAGAGAGAGAGCGAGAGAG